GGGGGGGGGGGGAGAAGATGAGCGGTCTTGTAGAGAGATGAAGGCAACCTCAAGAACAATGAATTGCTAGGAAAGTTGACTGAGTCTGTCATATTTCTTCGTTTGTTTAGAAAATCTCCTGTGCACTTGTTACACGTGTGTTGTGGGACCCCGTGGCTGTCAGTCTATATTAGAAAGCTGCCTCGTATGGGTTTATAAGGTGGGTAATGCTGCCAGTCACAGTACAGCAGACGGAGAGATCCAAGGAGCAGCAGGAGAGAATGCAGCTCAGGAGAGGACCAGAGGGCCTGTGTGTCAATGGTGTTTAAAGGCTCAGGTCCCAGGCAGCCGCTGGTTCATGCAGCTCGGGCCCTTCCAACAAGTCCTGTCGCTTGCAGCCAAAGTCCTTGCTCAGTATAGTTTGTGATGTTTAAGTTGTAAACAGTAATAATGCTGGTGGTTCACATGAGTGAAATGTCCTAAACCCCCCTTGAGAACCCATCACCTGGAAATCAAAGCTGCACGCCACCCTGCCACTCCAGGGGTGGGGACCCAGCATCCTCGCATATTACCTGGCAAAGGTAAACACCACGAACAAAGCAACAACACAACAGCCTCTTCTGTGAACACCAACATCACACAGGTGAGTTTAGGAGGCTGTACTGAAGGTTTGGGGAGGCTGCTCTGAGGCACAGGCACGTCACACACCTCAAGGCCTCTCAACAGCTCCTAGTTCTCTCCCATCTCCTACCTCTTCCTCTCTCTTTGCCTATTTATTCTCTTATTTATTAAAAAGCAACATCTCTGACCCAATCCACCGTATCTGGTGCTTGATGACCACAGACTGACTGTAGTTTCTAATTTCACATCAGTTTAAAAAGTTGCCATTCTGGCAGTCAGACTTCTGTCAGACTTAGGATCAGTATTTGTTATCACCAAAGTGAGAACACTTGCTAAGGGACAGATGGCTTGCGCCACAATTTTCTTTAACCCTCTACAGTGAACCAGTTCTATGAATCATCATTCTAGAGCCCTACCAGGAATGTGTGGAAACCACTAGCTATATCCCTACCAGAGAAGTTCGCTCATCTCAAAAATCTGTCACTACAACTGGCTCCACAGTGGGCAGACTTGGCAAATAGGTCAACAGTCTTTCCTGCTTTAATGACTCATGGACACTGGGTAGATCAGGGAGATTAGCCGGCTGCTATCTTTGTAAAACAAGGTCTTTGGGTAAGTAAACACAGGACTCAACACAGGTTGAAATGATACCTTGAGAACTCAAACACATCAAAGGGAAGTTTAAAAAGGGGGCTGGGGCAAAACTGGCGGAAAAGGGAGTCCCAAAGCTATCAAGAAAGCACTGTGAGATGGCAGGTTGTTCAGAAACAGCTGGATAGCAGTTTCTTCTCACTGTACCAACCTATATAACCCCTTAGACGTAATTAGGAATTATCATATAGCTGGGGCTGGTCCCCCATCAGATCACTGGGGAAACCATTATTCATAAAGTGTACATTTGGAAGGAATTCAAAATCAGTGCAATGGAAATCACAGTGGAATTTTCTAGACCCACCTCACCAAGCACGGGGTAAAATCATGAGTTTCTAAATTCATAAATCAAGCCTTCCCATGGATTTGAATATTTTTAACCATTCACTTTCCCAAAGCCTCTGTCTCTGAAGATACGGAACACTGACAACTTCAAGAAAAGTTAACTAAGCAGCAAAAGAAAAGCAATGATTGAGAAACACAATTGTGCCCCAGAGTCCATCTGCGTAAAATCCTAGACCTGGGACGGATGTGATTTAGGCTCTGCCACTTCCTGGCTCTTTAACTAATGCATCACTCAGGCAGGTTACTTCCCCTCTCTGTGTCCCAGTTTTCTCTTCCGTAAAACAGTAACGGCGTTGTTAGAAGGAAAGTTATGTAGAGTGGCTGGTATGTAGTAGGGCCTATATATTATTAGTTTTAATTGTTAGTGCCTTCAAGAAATAGAATTTTGAAATACCTGTGGCTCCTCTGCTCCTGTGAAATCTTTAAGGTGAAGATTTCAACCTCTCATTTAGATAAGTAGGTAAATTTAAGATAGACTAACCAGTATTATCTCAAATTTACACTATCTTCTATTCCAAGATTCCCAAGAGGTGTTGTTTTTTGTTTTGGAAAGTAGAATTCTCTCTGTCAACTTGTAGAAAATTTTCAAAGAAATTTAAGAGACAACCTTTCAGCACAGGGTGTCCCGAACTAAAGACAGTATATTTCTTCTACGACTTGCTCCTAGTCCTGACTGTGCGATAAAAGAAAGATGTGTACCATTTCTTCTGCCCTTGTCCTTGTTCCTCTAACACTGTCTATCTGTCCCCCTCCTTGACTGCCACTGTCATTACTCCAGCTCAGTGTCTCAAGAGCTTTTGCAAGGACTATTATAACGGTCCTCTTGCTGGTCTCATGTCTCCGATTTTTCCATTGTCTACATACTTTTACAGATGAACCCTTTTAAGCACTGCTTTAATCTTACTACTCCCCAGCGCAAAACCTCTTATAGTTCCCTGTTGTTTTCAAAATAAACCCCAAGATCTTTAATCTGACATTTAAGGATTTACCAATCTGGCCTCAACTTTATATTCCACCCTCCTTTCTTTTTATAATTGACATATGCATGATACTAGTTTCAGGTGTACATCATAATTCAGTATTAGTATGTACTGCAAAATGACTGCCATAGTAAGTCTAGTTAACATCCGTCACCATACATAGTTAAATTTTTTTTTTCTTGTGATGAGAACTTTTTGGATCTCTTTCAAATACTTTCAAGTATGCAATACAGTACTACAGACACCATGCCGTTCATTACATTCCCCAGGACTTATTTTATAACTGGAAGGTTGTACCTGTTGACCCCTCCCTCATCCTCTGCTGCTGGCAACCACCGCTGGGTTATGGATTAGCTCCGTTTCTGTTTTTAGATTCCACACATAAGCAAAATCAAGACTGGTTTCTTTGTCGAACTTCACTTAGCCTAATGCCCTCAAGGTCCATCCATTTTGTTGCAAATGGCACAATCTCCTCCTTTTTATGGCTGATAATCCATTTTATATATATAATTTCTTTATCCATTCATCCACTGATGAACACTTAGGTTGGTTCCATACCCTGGCTATGTAAATAATGTTGCAATAAATATGAGGGAGCAGATATCTGAGTTAGTGGTTTTATTTTCTTCAAGATAAATACCCAGGGGTCCAGTTGCTCGACCCTATAGTAGCTCTATTTCTTATGTTTTGAGGAACGCCAAATTTTTCTCTAGCATCCCAATACATCTCTCTAGGAAATTAAAGTCTGACAGTGTTTAGAACATGCATGTCATCCCGTTCCCTCCTTTCCTCTCTCCAACGTATTTCTCCTCCTTTCAGTAAAACGCTGGTCAGCCAAGCGCTCGCAGATAGGCAAGAGATACACTAGGAACAAGTATTTTCTACCTTACATCTCTTTTCTTCATTTTCTGCCTCTTATATTAAGGTCTCAACTCCCCTAAAGAAATATAAAATTAAACTTTAGGTTTACTTAAGCAGATCTAAAAATGGTATAAAAAGTAAGCAATTTTTTGGGAAATCACATCAAAAGAAATCCAAAGAAATAATGTAAGCAGCTAAAATTCATGGCAAAAAAAATTTAATGTATAAACAAAATTCTTTTTTTCATAACTGTAGAAATATAAGAACTATAAGGACAAATTACAATTTGTGTGGCAGACTGTTCTATTAATGGCCCCCAATGAATCATACCTCCTGATACCTGCATCCTATGCATTCCCTTTCACACTGACTCTAGACTTGGCCCTGTCACTTGCTTTGTCCACTGGAAGATGACCGAATATGATGGAAGTTTAGGCTTGGTAAGGCCTGTACGTCAGGGCTTGCCCTCTTGGAGTGTTTTCTCTCTCACAGGAAGAAGCACAGTGTAGCCTACTGAGGATGAGAGGCCATGTAGAACAGAACAGTCAAGTCACTGAATCCTGAGAAATCGTAAAACTTTCTTGTTGTAAACCACAGAGTTTTGGGGTGGTTTTTACGCAGTAATGGATAAGGGCTACTTTCTGTAGAACCTTATCATCTCTCTGTCTGTGTCTATGAAAGAGCAAATGGATAAAAATTAAATAAACAATATTTAATTTGAAAACACACTTAAGGTCTCTCAGCAAACTTTAATAATATGAGACCTGCTGCAGTCCTGTTGTATTTTCCCCTTTAACCCTCTAGCTCAGCTATTTAGTTAAAATTTAATTATTTACAAGAATCACCATTTTAACTATTATGCTATACATTCTATAGGTACAGAATGTAGATCTATATCAATGAACAAAGAGTACACGATAAATATTTTTATTTTTAAACACTGAATTGTACATTTTTTTCATATAAAAGATTCTAGCCTGTTTTTAAAAAATAATTACACTGCTAATAGTATCTTTATGTTTTTTACAGAAGCCAATTTTCTCTAAATTTTCAGCTTCACTCCATAGCTTTTATAGAATCATAATCTCTTGACTATATTTCCAATGTCCTTTAAAAAATAAAAATTCATACAAGATAATTTTATTTAACACATTAAAACTTAACAGGTTACAGTATAACTGCCCAGCCTTCCAGCTACCACTGGCACTTTCCCCAGCGGAGAGAAGCCAACATGTTGGAGTAACTAATTCTCTGTTTTTACCTTTATTAAAAAGAGGTTTCTGGTAGTCAGAACAAATAATCTCTCATTTGTTGCTTGAAAGCCTAAAATAGGATCACTGGTTTCTAGGCTTGCTACTTGCTGCTTAGCAACCTGCCCTACTTGCCGGCCTTCCTTTCTGTTGTAAAGTACAGTGGACATGGGAGTGGGCTGGCGATAGATAAATACCCGACGAAGGCACTCACAAAGGGCTGCATACGAGTAATTTGGAGCACAGGCAAAAAATTTTTTGTCTCTCTTTGATGCTTGGACGTAGCCTGCCAAGAAATAAGACAAACAAAAGAAAAACTGTAAGTTAAACAGAAGGAGAAAAGTTGTGATTCATTACTAATTAAAATGCCTAAATTAAAGCTATACCATAAATACTCAACAGTGAACCACTAATGATTAGCAACAACCAACCTCTCCCAATTGGTACAAAAATACAGCTTTGATACCTAAAGAACAAAACAGACATGGCTTCATCTCTTCAAGAAAGGAACTACATAGCACCATGTAATGTCCATGAATAGTTAAAACACTAACATCTAAACATTTAAATGCTGAAAACATGCCAAAATATCTTTAAATGCCAACTTAATAATTAGGTTCATCAATCGCAGATGAGTCATTATACCACCTTTTTTCTTTTTTCTGAACAAATATGAAATGTTTAGAGGACACCATTGTAAGTTACGTCAGGAGTGTGTTCATAATGCAGGCCCCATTCCTGAAGGTACCAACTGCACAATATGTTCTCATTATTTCTATGCTAGTGCTTTTACCTACCAGTGCCAACACTGTAACAGAATTTTGTTGTATTTCAGCTCCCGGAAGTAGAGCCTTGAGGCTACATCAAGCTTGAAATAAAATTCACATATCTAATTTTAAAGACTTCATTAGGAAATCCCTTGAAAACTACTTAAATTTTGAAAAAAACAGTATTAATCTTTTTAACAATTATCTTTACAAATTAAAAAAGCTGAAATATAAATTAGGATTTTCAGCTATAACATGTAATAAAGACTGTAACACTAATGTAAATTAAGTTCACCAAACAATGAATGAGCAAAGGAACCTCTGAGCGCAGGCAGATAAAATACTGGTGTTTTAATATTAAGCAGAGTTTGAGAAGGAAAAATGGGATGTAGATTCCTATTTGAGTGGCTTAGAATTAGTTCTCTGGGTAACCCTGACAAGATTAATACTGTATATAATATCTTCAGACTACATATCTACTATAAAGTTGATTTAACTTAAACTCAAGCACAACACAATTCTGTACTAGGGGATCTGGGGATACAAATGGAGGATCTGAGCATGTAAAAATTATGGTAAGAGTTTCCTCTTACTAAAAAAGGGGATAGAGAATAAAAAAATAGGAATTATAGTGGAAAGGCTAGAAATACGCAGTTAAATTATTTAATCAAACTTTATTTCAGGTCATAAAAATCCATTTGGAGTCTCAGTTAACCAGTTTAGCAGCTATATTATTAACTCTAAGGGACCGTGACAAATCTACTCTAGTTTGGGTTGTGCACACACAGCAATCAAAATGTGCGATTTTACTTACCTTTCAGTAAAGCAGTAACTGTGGCTAGTACACGTGAAAAATTTCTCCCACACAATACTAATGTATTTTGATATAAAATCAATTATTGCGTAAGTCTACAATTATGTAGTTTAAAATTTTCCCAGCTCTAGTTTTAAGACTGGCATTTTCCCTTTTAGTGGAATAAATTTTATTTCTGCTTATCCTCATTTTCCCTAAGTGTCCTCATTTAGAATTGCTCTCTGCACACGTCCGTCCCAGGAAAGATGCCTCCTGACGTGCGTTACCTTAGAGCAATTGTGTAGTTTTGAAGATTACTCTGAAGACCGTGAATACAAGTTCCATGGAGGGTACAGTCAAATTCCTGGTTCAGATTCTAATACGTATAGCTTAATTGGAATAAACAGATGACTGATTACCACATTTCAATTGTTTGGATAACCACTTTGATTTCTATTCTGCATTGATTTTCTGTACAAGCATGAAGACAGATGAGTCCTACTGTTCCAAAAGTACTGACATTCATCAACTATAGTCAAGCACCGCATTATAGCAGAAATCAATCCCAATGTAATTAGGACAGCTCAAATTTTTTAAAGGGGAAAAGAGCTTACTGTATACCTAAAGCATTGAAAGTGGCGATGTGCTCCCACATTTCGTCTTGTTTGCTGGAGTGTGGTTGCCAGAGTAAGGCATCCACATCATGGCGCAAACAGAAGCAGGGCATTTCTTTAGGATCCACTATGACAGAGAAGAGGTACTGGTTGCTTCCAAGATTCACCTAAAATAAAAAGTAACAAAAATGATATCTTACTCAACAAATTATTTAAAATGATGATGGCAAAAATACTTTATGTCAGCATCTATTCTAGACTTTTTATATACTTAATTGATTAACTCTTCATAATGCCCTGGGAGAAATGTGGTATTGCTTCCTACATTTTCAAGCTGAGAAAAGTGATGCCTGGGGCACTCAGGTAACTTCCCAAGAACAGCCTGGTAATAAGCCGTGAAGCTGAGATTTGAACCCAGAGTTTATGGTCTTAACCACTATGATAAACTACCTCTTAACTGTGAATTACTAGTTTAAAACGTGATATAAAACACCAATTTATAAACAGAATACTTTTTGAACCACAGTATACGAATACAAAGTTTACAAATGCTAGCTTGTAATAATAATTACCAAGAATAATGATAGCTACTAGGATTCACGAGCACATTCTATATGTCAGATATATTATAATTTCAACAACCCACAAGGTTATTATCTTCATTTAATAGATGAAAGAACATATGTGGATAGCTTTAGTAACTTGTTCTAGGCTACACAGAAAAATCCTAATGCTGAGATTCAAACTCAGGTCTGTCTGTTTACAAATTACTTACTTTGGTATAATGTTTAATTACAGTATCAATGTCAAGAATGTTTACTATGTTAATAAGCTTTATTGCAATATTGAGGCCTAAAGAAATTCATTTTAATACAAAATAATCAAGTTGAGACTCAACCGGATTCCATCTACAGGAATACTTCTATTAAAGGAAACAGTTTGCACTGATAGTCTTTATTAGAAATGTTATCAGTTTAAAATGTCTAAAGGCCAACAAAATCACGTCCAATGCAGAAAACATGAAATATGCATAGTACCTGATAAATACTGAATTGCTTCCACCAGTTTTAGAGCAGAATGGAGAGTAAATGGTTAACATTAGCCACAGAGCCCTGACCAGTATTCACTAGGGGAAGCGTTGGTGGGGCTGGGGGCTCTCCAGCAAGAGGATTTCCTGGTACAGCTGTGTCAGCACACAGTACTGGCTGAGTCAGCTTTATTTGCAAAATCACCAACTAACTGGCCTTCTTTTATAGTAAGCTTGATGGACCTGATACTGCCACAGCCCCCTTCCCTGCAACAACGGCCCCCCCTCACCCCGCTAGCTATTCTCACTTGTTTACCAATGGCTTTCACAGAAGAATAACTGAAATACAAATATGGGTTGAAATAATATTTTCATAAAAATGCATTTACTTTCATAAGCCAAGTGCCTTAAGGATGTGCTGAGCACTAACAATGAAAAGGGCTGTTGTCTAATCCTCTCATGCCTGAATGCACGACAGAACAGAGGGCCCTGAACCACCAAGTTAAAGGAGAACCACTGAGAGCTCACTACTGAAAATAAGAGGATGGCGGTGCTGGTCTCTTGTGATGGACCCCTTACTCAGACTTAGATATTATCTCCCACTCCCACATACATACCTTATATATACCTCCAACAGAGTAGAGTCAAAGTACTATTCATTACAAAAACAGCAATCTCATATCACGTGATTTACTTCTGCCATACCTTTGACACAGCGTTCTACCTCCTAGATAGAATGTCACACTGATGCCATTCAACATCAAAAAAAAAAAGTACTTTCTCTTCATAACGCTCTACGTAAGATTTTGGGCAAATAATAAGTTTTAGTAAGATGCCATGAAAAAGACTTTAAATATAGTTTTCACAATTAAAAGAATTAATTTACATTAGACAATTTACTTAGTTGGAAAACTCATTCTTTGTTAATGCCAAATAAATGTCTTATTGCCTTAGGAAAAACTGCTTCAATCTATAAACCCATTAGCCAATAAAACATAACTCCGTATTTCTTCTATTCTCATGTTTATGGTAGAAAAGGTTATATTTACTTTTGAAGTACCAGTGAAGACTACAATTGAATAAAATATTCTCAGAGAAAAATTTGAAACATGAATTTCAAGTAGTAAATTGTCTTTTTCTTTTCTTCGTAGAACATTTAGCAATTAAAGACTTCTGAAGATTAAATGTCAAAGTGAAGACATTTAAACAACCCTTAATCACTGCTATTACCAAATTGAATTAAAAAGTAGTATTAAGAGAAAGGTTTTATCTATTCAGAAACAAAGTATTTGTTAGGAGACCAGATTGAAAAATTAATGACATGACACTTTAATACAAAATTCATATTCTTTATGTCAATAAATTGCTAAATTTTACTCTATTCTTACTGTGCATGAAATACTGAGTTGATCTGTATCTTACTACTTTGTAAGTAAAAACACTCCCTGCAGTTACTTTCACTACCACCACTCAAAACACTTCTGAAACCAGATGTGTGGGTTTTCCACATATCAAGCTATTCTTCAACACCAGCTGGATGTCCTACAGTTCAATTCAGTTCTGAAAGAGTCTACTTGGAGATAGCATCAGATTCCACATGTTAAGGGATCGGTCCCACAAAACTCCCTGCTCCATCCCACTTCAGATGCCAATGGCATGTCCCAGGCTGTCACCTGTACTACTGACTGATTGGTTATGAATCAGGGTTCCAATGACTCCCTCCTTGGGTTTGATAATTTGCTAAAATGCCTCACAGAACTCAGGGAAACACTTCACTTATGTTTACCAGTTTATTACAAAAGGATATGATAAAGATGAACACCCAAGTGGAAGAGATGCATAGTGAGAGCTATAGAGGATGCACACCAAGCTTCCATTCCCTCGCCAAGCTCACCACCCTCCCAGTACCTCTATGTGTTCAGCAACACAGAAGCTTTATGAACCCCGTACTTGGAGGATTTTTATGGAGGTTTAACCACATAGGAATGATCAATCATTAATTCAGTCAGGCCCTCTCCCCTTCCTGGAGGATGAGAGGTGGAGCTGAAAGTTCCAAGCTACTAATCACGGCCTGGTTCTTCGAGTGACCAGACCCAATCTTGAAGTGATCTAGGAGCCCACCATGAGTTGCTCCATCAGAACAAAAGACACTCCTTTCATCTAGGATCGAATTCTAGGGGACTTAGGGGTTCTGTGTCAGGAGCCAGATCAAAGACCAAATATTAGAACAAAAGATGCTCCTAGTGCTCTTCTCAGGAAATTACAAGGGTTTTAGGAGCACAGTGCCAGGAACTGGGGAAAGAGACCAATATACACATATTTTCTATATATACATATTTCACAACTACTTTATTTAATCTTCACTTCCTGAGAATAAGGAATATAATCCTGATTTATAGAAGAGGAGACTAAACCTCAAGAGGTTAAAAGATTTAAGTTAAGATGCTAATGAGGGGTAGTTAGGATTTAAGTTCAATGTAGTTCCAAACCCATGTTCTTAATCACTATCACTGCATGCTCTTCCAAAGCCCATTTTACAGTAGTTACCAAATAACCACCAGAGTATTTCCCTGGCTAGGCACTATTTCAGATATGGTAATCCACATACTATAAAATATGTGTATATTCTGCTTGGTCAGTTAAAGTCAGTTGTGAAGTTGTGCATGTGTGGCATGTTTAAAGTTGGTGTTTATAAACAATGGCACAGAAGTCTTATCAAATCCTGAGTTGCAACTTTGAACACCCATTCACACCCCAGTAACCACATCTTACTACTTTCCTTCTTCAGTTCCGATACTTAATATTTCTATTTTAGTGTGCTGCTGCATATATTTATTTAACATTTTACTTCCCAAATGCCAAATTCTAACCAAAATACACTTCTTTCAGGAAATTTTATATTTTGAGAAATCTGTCATTTACAATATAGAGTTCTGACCATTTGTTACAGTATTTTTTCCTAAAACTATAAGAACATATACTGACTTTTCCACATACAGGTAATTTTAAATTATCTAAAGTCATGACAAGTGAAATCAAGGAAAGAGAACTTGCAACAAACATTGCAGAAAGAAGTACAAACTGTCGATAAAGTACTACAGGATTCCTAGAGTGGATGTGCCACTGACATTCCAAAATATTGCAGTCTCCTTCAGTGACAAGCCAACTCATATCCTCTTTTTCTTTTTTATCATTTTTTTATTTTAAATTACAGTTGACACACCCTCTTGAGTACACCAAGAAACTACATTTGACCAGGTAGATCTTTGCTTTCATACAATACACTTATCTGCCTTTAGAAAGAAGATGGACTTAGTACTTATTATTGGAGCTGTTCAATTTAGAGATAGCTATTCCACTTATACCGAAATAGCAATAGTTATGTAATTTTACTTCACTGAATCTTTGCCTATATTTATAAAAAAATGACAAATAATAGAAAAATGAGATTTTTTTGTTGTAAAAAACCAACTCTGGTCTCAAATATAATCCAACTGAACCAAAAATAAGACTCTTTAGAAGGTTCCAGTTCCAAATGGAGAAGAAGAAGATCCTGAACTCACCACCTCATGTGAACACACCAAATCTACAGCTATATATGGATCCATTTCCTCTGGGAAAACAATAACAACAAAAAATCCAAAACTAGCTGAGCAACTCCTACATATCAAGCAAACTACAAAATCCCACCCATTCCTGGCGTGGTGACCCATAATCAGAAAGGAACTCGAAACCCCGAGCTTCATTCACACTGAAGAGCAACGAATTTGAACCCAACACATCAGGTACTATAACTTTTAAGACCTACATCTGAGAGACGAGGCTCTAAAACACCTAGCTTTAAAAGCCAATGGGCTTGTATCCATGAGACCTCCAAGGTTATAATGAACTGAGAAACGGTTCTTAAAAGCCCGGTGCAGACTGAAAACTGCTCAGACTTTTCTGTGAAAGGCTTACGTGCTTACCTTAAAGCATTGGCATGGGATGCAAGCATCTAATTTACTACACATCTAGGGGCCTAAGGAAACACTTTCCAGACAAGTAAAAGCTGAAGGAGTTCATCACCACCAGACCAGCTTACAAGAAATGTACACAAATTCCTTCAAGTTGAAATGAAAGAGCACCAAGTATAAATCTCACTAATAAAGATAAATATGTAGTAACTTTCAGAATCATCCAACATTGTAAAGGTGGTGGGTTAATCACTTATAAAGCTAGTATAAAAATTCTTTAAAAAGCAGTAAAAATAACTATAACTACAATAATGTGTTAAAGGATACACAAGATAAAAAGATGTAAATTGTGATATCAAAACAAAACATAAGTGGTGGGAAAGAGAGAAGGGCAGATGTAGAAGTTGTAAGAGTGAGTATTTAATTTTGGTACTGCTTTAGTGGCACGTCTGCCTCGCCACTGGTCTGCTGTTCTACCTCATTTGTCTATATAGGTATATAATCTGAAAGTGCTCATTTTTATACATCCTTTGAGTACTGTAATAACTAGCGATTAGGTAAAGAAAGTTAAGTATCCAAAAAAGACGAGGAAAGGTTAGTGAATCAAATCCCCATGACACTTATGACTGGTTCCCTAAATTTTTGCTAGAATATACTTTCCCCTCAACTTCTACAAGACAAAGAAACACACTAGGCCAAACTTGGCAGAAATTTTCAAGAATTTTCTTGGCCTATATCAAAGACTGAGAGGTCTAAAAACAAAATAACCAAAGAACAAATTGTTCTCTCTTTTCTATTGCTTTTGCTTGGCCTGAGACTCCCAATGCCCAACACTTATGGTTTTAGTAATAAGACTAAATTAATTTCTACATGCAAAGCTCTAAATTAGCCACTGATTTACTATGAAGACACTTCTCACATCAATAACTGTATGAAACATGCCCTTGATTATGTAGTATTATGTAATGGTTAGTGACTCCTCTAAGCAAATATATCTAATAAAGTTCTAAATTAAAAAAAAAAAATCTACATCTGCAAAGGTGAGGAACACACCCCGGAACACAGGAATTACCACAAGCCAGTCCAGGCAGCATTCTTCAGTACCTTGAGGCACACCTCTCAAAGCTTTTGAACAGAACGCAAATTTTAGGGGGAGAAAAATTAACCAATTTATATATTTATAACATACCAGAAAGAGAGGTTTAAAAATCCCAAGTGAATTAAGGAGTCAAATAAAAATTCCAAAACAGAGGGAAAAACAAAACAAAACAAAACAGGAAAAAGTTAAATCACTTGCTATAGAAGGGTTTCCTACATTTATAACAGTCAAAGCAATAAGAAATACTAGAACAAAAAAATAAAATTCTTCACAAAAAAATAGTCAAAAGTAATATACGAAAAAGTCAACAGTAAAAAAAAAAAAAAGACTAAAACAAGATTCTATATCTTGTACACCAATTAGTAAAATCCAACAAAAAAATTGAAGAGGAAGGTAAAAATGCAGCAAAACAGGCAATAACTACAAACACTGCTAATGAGACTATGAAGTGGAAATCAGTTTATCAAGACTTAGTCTGTGACTTATTAATTTGATTTCTGTAATTCTTTATTAGATGAATACCCCTAAATACAGAAAATGTTTCATGCAAAAAGAGGATTTAAAAATATAGCAACGCCCTGACCAGTGTGGCTCAGCTGGATGGGTGTCGTTCCTTGCACGGAGGGGTTGCCAGTTCAATTCCTGGTCAGGGCACCTGCCCAGGTTGTGGGCTCGATCCCCAGTAGGGGGTATGCAGGAGGCAGCCAATTGACTCCCTCTCATCACTGATGTTCCTATCTCTCTCTCCCTCTCCCTTCCTCTCTCTGAAATCAATAAAAACATATTTTTTAAAAAAGCCAATTGAAAAATATCAAATATACAATAGTACCAAAGCAATACATTTTTTAATTGGGGGTGTGTGATGAAAAGCTGTCACTTTATGGAGTGATGATATTTATAACACAGCCAGTAATTGCTAATCAAGTCATCTTTGCAAAATATATATACATATATACTTGTTCAGTCAATTATCATTCATCTGAGTAACTTCTATCTCTTCACAAATTTTTAGAAAAATCATTATCAAGAACTTACCACATGAGTAGTTTTTAATGTATTACCATCAAATCTGCATAAACTGGAACTCTCTTCAAAGAAAATATCACATTCTTCTAACTCTTGAGCATTACAAGGAGGTTTTTCTTTATCTGGATTTGGATTCTTAAGACCAGAAAATAAAATAAGTATTGAAACAAACAATAAGAGAATGGATTTCTTCACACTTTAAAATGTTAACATTACGCTCAAAATTAAAAACTAAATTTCAGATGCATGAGCAGTAAAAATTTAATCAACAGACAGAAATGATGGAATCAGCAAAAGGTATATTGAAACAGCTATTATAAACAGGTTCTATATATTCGAAGATGTAAAATAAACATGTTGAGATATATAAGATATAAAATGGAACTAAATTTACCTTCTAGATATGAAAATATAATATCTAAAATGGAAAACAAAATAGAATTGACAGCTGATAAAGTATTGCAGAAGAAAAGAACAGTGAGCTTGAAACATAATAATAGTCTTATCTAAACTGAAACACAGAGAAGACAAAAAGATAAAAACACAGAACCCTGGTGACCTGTGGAACAATATCAAATGGTCTAATTCATATATGAGTAATTGGAAGGGGTCAGGAAGAATGGAAAAAATGTTAAAGCAATAATGGCCCCCAATTTTTTAATTTGATGAAAACTTGGAGGTCAAAGCTGGGATGTGGAGTACCTAGTTACAGTTGTGTGCTCCAGCCTAGACGTCAATGGAAACAATTCTGGTGGTTGTGGCTCACTGAGAAGGCAATTTGCTGGGGCCTTTATTAACAGTGACTCAAGAAGATACGTATGTCCAGTGGAATAAAGAAAGAACCTGCCAGACTCCTTCCTCCCTTCCCCTTTCAATTACCCATATGTTAGCGATAGGAAGGCAAAAATGAAAACTTCAGGACTATCCAGGCAGCCAGTTAACAGGACAAGATTACAGAGAAAAGGGAATATCAGAAAAGAGAAGCCAATACTCTTTGCTGCTTTCCTGGAGCCATTTACTGATTTCCAAACTGAACTGAAAAACACAGGTGGAAAGCAGCAGATAAGGGACTAAAGAGCTGAGTTTTGATATCATCAAAGTGCTTGGGAGAGAAAAATGAAAGATTATGGCCCACAGAGAAGCGCTACTAAACAACCCAGACTTTCAGTTGAGATTCATGAAAGTTTTTGCCGCCCGACGAGTAAGAATCGACAAGGAATAAATATCAACCATGTAGAAAACTGAAATCCAGCCTCAAGTCAGATCAGTCCCTAACGGGATTAAGAAGACCGCTGAGAGTTTGGGGGACACAGCTCAAGTAGTGTTTACAAGGATGGGTACAGCATTCAATCCTTCAGGCCAGAAAAGAAAGGTCAAAAGCCAATCACCCAAGCTTTTACTTCAAACAAACAACAAAAGGAGCAAAATAGATCCAAAGTAAGCAAAAGGGAGAAAAAGATACATGTAATAATAAAAATGAATAATATTGGAAACTGAGAAAAAAAATCAGTGGAAATAGATGCCCAAAATAATCCTGTATCTATTAAAGAAATTAAATTCGTGGCTTTTTAAAAACCTTCCAAAAAAGAAAACTCTAGTCCAGACAGTTTCACTGGAAATTCTATCAAACATTTAAAGGGAAATTATACCAATTCTACACAATTTCTTCCAGAAATAGGACACGAGGGAAACATATTGTTACTCATTTTATGAAGTCAGCATTACCCAGATACCAAAGCTGGATTTTTTTTTAAAAAAAGAGAAAGGAAAAAAACACAGTAAAAAGGTAAAAACAAACTACAGACAACTTTCCTCAAAATACAGATGCAAAACCCTTCAATAATGTAAAAAGGATAATGTCATAACCAAGTGGGGTTTATCCCACAAATAAAGAGAATGCATTTGATAACATTCTACAGCTTTTCATGACAAAAATTCTCAATATACTAGGAAATGAGAAAATTTACTCAATCTGATGAAAATAATCATCATACTTAATGGTGAAATATTCAATTCTTTCCCCCCAAGATCACGAATAAGGCATGAATGCCTACTTTCATTATTTACCATTTCTATTTCACAGTGGATTAGCGGTTCTAACCAATGCAGTTAGGCAAGAAAAAGTATAAAGATCTGAAAAATACAAAACTGACTTCAGTTGCAGATGACAAGATTCTATGTTCTTTCTTTATTTTTTTTCAAAATGTAAAAAACACACTGGGATTCAGGCATAAATAACCTTCCTCATATGTAACAATATTCATTTGCAAGCATCAAGTGTGAAGAGGCAGCAGCAATTATCTACAACCTCAAAACAAGCCTTCACTAGAATCACTATTGTGTCCTCAGAGCCCTATCACAAAAAATACTTGCTGAATGAATGAACGAGGGCAATCAGTCTGCATGGCTTCTTTATTGTAACAGGTCTATGAAATCAAAGTTTTATAGTCTTATTTATGAATTCTAGTGATTTCAGAAATTTTTAATTACTGCTAGCAAACATGAAACTTAGTTTCTCCATTTTGGCTATGTTTTCTTTTGACAGAGACATTTACTTCAAATGTTCTAATTAATTTTTCCTTTTTACCTTAGGATGTAACTAACCATCTAGTATAAATACTTCATACAGTTTTCTTCACCACTGCAATTTCAGATGGTAATATGTCAGTTTACGTATGCTGATATAATTTTCAGTGAATGAACATATATAACTGAAATTCTGGTGTATTGCTGCTATACAATATTTGTTCAAGTTCTCAACATTATCTTAAAAAGTTATCAGAATGGAAATATAGTCACCAAAATCCCACAGATGAATAAGTAGTGTATTGTCATCATTACAGTGAATTACTTCGTCAATCAAAACCAACTGTACTGTATGTGATATATATATATATATATATGTATACCCCTTGTGATATTCTAAGATCACCTAGAAAATTTCAATGATGATAAGTAGGTTATTAGCAAGGTAGACAATGAAATCATGATTTTTGTTCCTGTCAGCACTGGTCAGTCTATTCTTCTAAAGGAGACTGTCTATAAACAGTCGTGTGTTGCATATGACGTTTCAGTCAATAACGGACTGCATATACAATGGTGGTCCCATTAAATTATAATGGAGCTGAAAAATTCCTATTGCATAGTGATGTCATAGCCATCGTAAGGTTGCAATGGAATGCATTCCTCATGTGTGTGTGCTGATACTGGGGTAAACAAACCTACTGCACTGCCGGACGTATAAAAGTATAGCACATACAATTAAGTACAGAACTTAATACTTAATAATAATAATAAATGACTATGTTTCTGGTTTTTGAGTTTACTATACTATACTTTTAATTACTTTAGACTGTAATCTTTCTACTTACTAAAAGGTTGCTATAAAACAGTATGCCGTGCTACGCCAGCAGCTGCCTCACACATCTCATGCTTACTGCATCTCTTGATTGCATCAATCTCTTGCGCTTGATTTAATCTTGTGTTGACGTGTATAGTGATATGCTGTACAGACGTGCAGCCTAGGAGCAGTAGGCTATACTATCTAGCCTTGGTGTGTAGTAGGCTGTCCCATCTAGGCTTGTGTAAGTGCACGCTGTGATGTTTGCACAATGACACAATCACCTAACGTGGCATTTCTCAGAACATATCAGTCGTTAAGCATGCGTGTGTAGGTAAAGAGATGCAGACATACATGCATATCCATCCTACAAACATGCCCCCCACACATATGTATTCAAACAGTGTACAGAATGGGTACTGGAATTTTAAGCCATATTCCAACATCAGGCAGCAATGCTTAATGTCTGTCTTTTACCCTAGAAGAGCAAAGCAATGTTTGAAAACATGACATAATCCTCACATTTCCGATCCTTACAAAGTCAAACTATTCTTGCAATTGCTCACCAGTTCTTCAGAGGTCAAATGCATCAAACGTTCAGCTATTGCAGCACACTGGGCTGAGTCTCTTATAAACTCCCCTTGTTTATCACCAACTACGAGCTCTGGCCAAGTCAGTCCTTCATTCTTCTTAATCAAGGAAATCTCCAAGCTAGAAGTTTAAATGAGAAAAGTAATGTTATATTAAGCAACTGTGCAAAAATATGACCAATACCAAATGGAAGAATCTCCCATAGAAATTACCCCTCTGGTGTCCAGAAGATGTTTTATCAAATTTTGTGTTCATTTTAGTTTTGCATATGATAAAAAATAAATCTATAATCCAAGGGTAATTTAGATTTAAAAAACAAGAAAGTACCATTGGAAATAGTATGTCAAATGGCTTGATGAGAGCAGTAATTGGAAAGAGTAAAACAATCCAGAAAGTACTGTTGTAGTCCAGCTGTGCAGCGTTACCAAACTTAAATAACAGAAATGCAAGTAACACATATGAGATATTTCACTGGGGAATGGTGGGGTGGGTACATAAAGTTAATTAGAAAAATCCTATAACTAAAGGCAACTCTGTGTGTGGGGACCCGATTAACTTTATTTTCACAAACTAGTAGCCATAATATATGATTATTAATCTAAAGATCAGGCAGGTTAAATCAATACAAATGTTAATTTTTAAAATACAGATTTTAAAGAATTGAAAAGAAATGTAGGAATCAGAAAAGTAATAACTGGCAAAACAGGAAAAAGAGTTAATATGATTTCTATCAATTTAAAATCTAATTCTGTACATTTAAGCCATTATATACAAATTCCAAATGCAATAAAAAGGGCCTATCAAGGAATCCTGAGATGGAGGTCTTTTGCAGCAGTAAAGGGAGAGAGCACTGAGTCAGGGCAAACAGTGGACATAGGAGGATAGGGAGTTGCCTATGTGCCTCCTGAGTAGGAAAGGAAATCTAAGTAAGATGCTTTGGGAGCAGCCGTAGCTGTAATACAGAGAAAAGTGGGGGAGTGGGAGGGTAGTAGCTGTTCCAGAGCAAAGCAACCTTTTCCATGCGCCATACTAACCCATGCCCTGGAACACAAGTGCAAGCAAACAATCGCAAGAACACAATAATAGCTATTATCGTAATTATCAAATAGGACATGCAAACTTATCAACTATTCTTTTTCAAGGCTGTTATTATCACCACCTCATGAATTACAACACTTTAGAATGTTCTGAAATTAGTTATTTTTAAGAGACTATACAAAATATCTTATGTAACATGAGTTCCTATCATTAGCATTAAAATTATCACCACAAACAATAATGACCAAGTTTAGTTATATTTTCTAAAGAGAAAGCTAATCTTGATAATGATGTTGATGATGAAGGTGATGATAATAATAAAAATAATGACAGCAGCTTATACTGACCAGGTGTTTACCATATTCCAGGTGCTGTCTTGAGCACTTTACATGTTTTAACTCATTTACTGCTCACCACAACCGAATAAAATAAGGACTATTAACATCTCCATTATACAAGTAAGAAGAAAAAGCACTGAGAGGTTAAGAAATTGCCATGGTCACAAGTTAGTAAGCAGTCTGGCTCCAAGTCCAACTTCTTCTCTACTGCACTCTTCTGCCTCTTTGCAAAAATATATGTAAATAACTACTAAAGAACTTTATCCAGTGACCAGAATGTATAAATACTGTTCTTAGTTGCTACCTAAAGAGGTTAGAAAGAGTTCATACAATCTCAGTTGTAAAAAAATTATGATCTATCATTAAATTTGCACAACTGCATTTCGATATTTTAATACTAGTATCAAATTCTGCCAAACAAGCCCAAAGGAACATAAAACCCCATACATAGTAAGAAGGAACATTATTTGAAAATGAGATATGAATAATTTAATCAAGTACATAAAATCATGTTTGTAAACCAATGATCCCACCTACACATCATTGTTAATTACCTTTTATAAAATAAAGTAGTAATCAAGCACATCATGGAAAAACAATACTGGTCTATGTTCATGTATGTTGAAACCATCTGCATGAGGTACAGCTATTCTCGTAGACCTTTGGTGGGTTACTGCTTAGTGACTTATATTTAACAATATATTCTATCTGGTTTGCCATGTTATAATGCTACCCTCAAATATCTCTCTCACACACAAAATATGTTTAAATATAACATGTGGAAGTATAAAATATTTTTTAAAGAATTTTTCAGATAACAGAGTTTTATTTTTTTTAAATATATCTTTATTGATTTCAGAGAGAGGAAAGGAGAAGGAGAGAGAGAGATAGAAACATCAATGATGAGAGAGTCATTGATCGAGCCCACAACCCGGGCATGTGCCCTGAACCACGAATCGAACCTTGATCACCTGGATCCTAGGTCAACGCTCAACCGCTGAGCCACACCTGGCCAGGCAAATAACAGAGTTTTTGAAATAATATATTAAAAAGTGTAACCAAGTCATCAAATTTCCCCATTAATAAAATGAATTCAGGATATCTGCTTTTAAAGCTTAAAAAATTTTTAATCTAAATATATATTTCTTATACTCCCAGGATTTAGACTCATATCAAAGGCTCACATAGGTCATATATTACTAATCAAGAATTATATTATGGTAAAAATATCTAACTTACACCCACTTCTGAACAAATGTGACCATTTAAAAAATTAAGCTCCTAATACTGCTTATTAATCCACCACTGAATTCAATAATTACTAGGACTTGATATATAATGAAAGAGAATAATTTTATTAATCCAAATGATTGGGGCAGAAGTACCTGGGGCAATATATTTGCAAACAGGCATAGTAGTGGGGTTAGATGATTAGTTTTATAAAACCCTTAATGTTTGTTTACCCTTTTTTAATACTCCTTTTATGGAGGTATAATTTATAGACAAAATTCATAGGTTTTAAGAGTAAAATTCATTGAGTTTGACAAATGCATACAACTTTATAACACAAGGAAGATACTAAACCATTCAGAAAGTTCCCTTGTGTTCCCTTTCCAGTCAATCCTCTGACACCTCAGAGGTAACCACTGTTCTGATCTGAATCACCACAGATTAGTTTTGCCAGTTCTAGAACACAATATATGTGGAATCAAACAGTATGTACTCTTTTGTCTCTGGCTTCTTTCACTCCACCTTTCTGAGATTCATTCATATTCTTGTGTTTATCAGTAGTTCATTCTTTTTTAATTGCATAGTAGCATTCAATTGTATGAATATACCACTTATTTATTCACCTTTTCATGAACATTGAGCTGTTTTCAATTTTTGGCTTTTATGAATATAGTTTTGGCTTTTATGAATATAAATTTTACAAATTTAAGGAGGGGTTGTTTTACTTTTTAACATGCATTTAATTTCTCTTGAGTAAATATCTAGTAGTAGATTTTCTGGGTTACAAACTATATATTTACCGTGATAAGAAACTGCTAAACATTTTGTCAAAATCATTGTATCATTTCCACTCCCACCAGCAATGTGCAAGTTGCTGGTGCTCCGAACATCTGATACTGTCGGTCTCTTTAGTTTTAGCCATGTGATGGTGTCCCATCTGGCTCTGATTTGTATTCCCCTGACTAATAATAATTTTTCCATGTGCTAACTAGGCATTCATGTATCTTCTACTGTGACATGTCTCTTTAATTCATTTGACCATTTAAAAAATTGGGTTGTCTTTTATTATGCATTTGTGGTAAGGTTTTCTTTATATATTAAGAACGTAAGTCCTATGTTTGATATGAGTACTGGGAATACCATTTCCCAGTCTATGGTTTGTGTCTTTGTTCTCTTAATGGTGTCTTTACAAGAGAAGAAATTCTCAGTTTTGATGTACAGGAAAGTTTTATTTGGATGAAGATGAATTTATCATTTATTTTTTTGTGTATAAGTCCTGAACACACAATTCACAAAAGAAATATAAATGGCTAATTTACATTAAAAAAATATTTATTATCCACAATTTCCAAAGAAATATGAACCATTCCACTTGTAGGTATTTATTCTCTATGTATATTCCCACACATGAAATCTTATACCGGGTGTCCCCAAAAATGTATATTCTTTGAATAATTATTAATTCCAATGGGTTAAATCTGAAAAGAAACATTGGAATTAATAATTATTCAAAGTGTGTATACATTTTTGGGGACACTCTGTATATACAGTTATCACCACAGAAGAAGACTGGAATCAATGTAAAAGTCCAACATCAGAGGACAAATTTTTAAAAATGATTATGCAGTTGACAGAGTAGAATTCTATGAAGCCATAAAATAGAGTAAAAAGTAATTATGAATTCTTTATAAAAAGCTCTCCAAGATTATGTCAACAAAAGTAAGCTGCATAACTGTGTGTTGTATGTGTTGAAAACCTTTCTGTTAAAAAAGAAAATAATATATATGCTAATTGAATATGTATAATAATAGTGTTGTGGGGAATTAGGGATGGGTGACTGAGAGCCTGGGTTGGAGGGAGACTTAACCCCGCATACCCTTTTACAGACCTTAAATTTTAAAGAATGGGAATGTATTATGTAGTCAACAAATTAAAGGTTGAAGAAAAAATTATTTCCATTAAAAAGTTTAAAAAGTACAAATTAAAATAACCATTTTCACCTATTATTCTTGTTACTATTATTATATCCGAAGCTGGTAATGAAAAGCATTACCGTGCAACGTAACCAATAACTATAACTAGTTCTTTACATAAATGTAAGCAATAACTATAATTCACATAAATGTAATGTAAGCAGTAACTATAACTAGTATCTTTAATCTTAACTACAACTATGTTCTTTGACATGGTAATTCCAATTTTAATCTACCTGAAAAATAATCAGCAGTAGAGACAGACCAATTATAGTATTCACCTCTGAGCTAACTACTGTGGAAATATAAAGATAATAAAAAATAAAATTTTAAATATAAATAAAACTGTAAAAAATACCTATTATTCTCTTTAATTATCCATGTACTGCTTTCATGATCAACAGATGAATAGAGGTTTCCTTCCCAAAACCTCTGACCCTTCAGCACAATGCTAACACAATCAGGCAGAAACTGTACTTGAATGTCCGCCTTGGTAGTGTCTTCTGGAAGCCGCATCATGACTGTCAAATCATCTTCAGTCTGCTGCCAGTAATACAGAGGCTCTATTGGAAAAACAAAAATGCATTACGTAATAAAAAGTAAGCATTTTTTTCGCCAGTTCTAAAGACTTATATAAAATTAGAGACTAGAAGACACGAAAGAATACCTATCTAAAAGAAACTGAGCATATTTCCTAGTGATCTTTTCACAGGGTCCTAGCTTCTAGGCAAAATGGTTCCCAGGATTAAGGCATTCTTGCCTTTCTTCAAAATTGCTCACCTAAGGAGTTAAGTTCTAAAGGCCATGTGGTCTAGAAATATAAAAGACTGTTCTGGCTAAGTTCTAAGAGAGTTTAACATTAGAATTAAGACAGAACTGTAGAATTTACTCCGAAAGGGATCTTAGAAGTAATCTAACAAAAACATATCACATATGAGGAATCCAAGTTGTTAAGATGCTAACTAAAAGGGACCAAGCACAGCTGTTGTATTCAGAAGTGATATTTATAAGCCTGAGGAAAACAATTTTCAAATATTATTGATTTACTATTTTCAAATACTTTTCCAAAAATTCATTTTTAGAAAGCTATAAATATTTAAAAAATAGAAAAACTAATTTTTATTTAAATAAGTAACAAAAAAGGTAGAGTCAAAGAGTAATACATGTATTGGTTGAATACTGTGAAAATCTGTTAAAAATATGCTATTCTCTGGCTATAAACATCAGAAATATGAACAGTGATGATGACAGAAAGGATATTTTTATATTGATATGTATATATTTAAATATCTCTTGAATATTTTAAAAGAATATATATTCTTTGCATACAAATGTAAACAACTTCTGAAAGACTTCGTTCCTCTTTTCATTCTAAAAACATTACAAACCTTCACTCAGTCTCCACAGAAAACAGTCAGTGATTATGCCCTCAAGGAACTTCCTTTCAGTTTAGTAGAAAAGGTAAAAATATGTACATTAGTATACACTTAAAATGAACAAGAGTTAAGCTTATTTTAAAAGATTAATATCCTTAATACTAATATGACAGCTTCTCTTTTGCCAACAACAAATAGGCATTATTTATTTATTCTCTCGCCAAGTACTGATTAAACATCTAATCAGATAAGCTAATATATATATTTTAAACATTTTTGGTAATTATGAAATTATTAAATTGAACTAGTTTCCATTATTTAGGTGGTATATTTTACAAAGATTATTCTGAAAAATATAGAAAAATATTAAAAAATAATTAGGCACCTATCTTGACCTGGTAAAACATAAGTGGGCAGAGAAACCAGACAAATTCATACACATAAAAATACACGTGAACTCGATGAAGATGAAAAGTAAAATTACCTTTGACTTTATCGGACATGTCTTCATCTTTACTTTCTTCAATATCTTGACCAACGGGAACAAACGTGAAGGACTTGTAGGAGACGATCATTAGGCCATTCCCATCGGGTTCGATAGCAGCATAATGGGGCACTGACTTTCCACGGAGAATATCACGCTTAATAATTTCATATTTTTTATTATCTGAAAGAAGATCAAGTATTTTTGAACAAAAATAATAAAAAGCTGTATTATAAAAATATTCTGAAAATATCTGTACGTTAATTGCATTCAAATTAAATATTTTAAATGTACTATTAAAAGGCATACTACTGGTTGTCTTTATAGATAAAAAGGAATTAAAAAATTGACCACCTAACATTCTGTAAATAGATCCCTATTTTAAAATACTAGGTTTGTTAAAAATTGTTCTAGATTGTGCTATCCAATGTGGTAGCCACTGGTCACAAGTGGCTATTTAATTAAAATTAAGTGACATTGGAAATTCATTTCCTTAATCACACTAGCCACATTTCAAGTGCTCAACAGCCACACAGGGTAGCCACTATCACACTAAGAAAAATAACAGTCACAGAAACAAGCTCCTTAGTGCTCAACTACAGGAAAAACCACATGATGAGTCAGTAAGAGCTAAGCACTGGCAAAGGGCAAGGCCACGCCATTAAAGGAATTCTAATTAATAAATGAAAAAGTCATTTTTAATGTCCCAGTTAGAAGTCTGACAGTTCCAAACAGGCGAAAAGTTAGGACTTTCCTACACATGGAAGCACTCTGGGCAACAAAAACTTAAGAGTTTTCCTGAGGATGGAAACAGATGGCAAAGTTCAATTAGACTAGATAGAAAGCACAATTTTGATCTAATAACTAAATGTATTCATTTCCATCTAAGCACTTATATTTAATTTATATTTCAATTACACTGTGATTTATAATTAATTTACAGTTAAGTTTTATATTCAGGGTAAGGCAGAAGTAGGTTTCCAGTTGTATGTGAAACAGTTTATTCTTGTATTATTACTTTTTAACTATTGTATTATTTTCCATATGAATAACTGTAAACCTACTTTTGTCCCCACCCTGTATATGTAAATTCTTTTGCAAATATGTGTATGTGTACGTATACAGATAGATATATTCTTGTATATATTAAAAATATACACTTTGAATTCTTCAAAAATTATGAAATAATCTCTCCTTTTATACAAAAAGTCATAATTGACTGGGGAAGCACATTATTATTTTTATAACTATCTATCGATATTCTATTCCACTGGATGGCAGGTCCTAGAATCATAACCCAATACCCAAGAAAAAGCAAACAGCGTTTACAGTCACAGCTTTGCACACTACGGAGAGACTCAGGATATGTTAGGTTTTACCTTTATTTTTCTTACTGATAGTGACCCACTCCAAGGAAACAAAGAAGCCACTTCCTTTCATGTCCAATTCTTCTTTCTCTATTCGAAGAAGTAGGGTAGCTACTGAATGTTCTTCAGCTTTCAGCAATGAGATACTGTGAATTATGATAAAAGGATTCCCTAGCTCTTCATTAAACATAATCTAGAAAAGAAAAAAAAGATGACACACACAAAATGTATATATTACATTAATGCAGCTAGCAGAGGGAATACATAGAATCCTGACAACCCAACAATTAATCTTACACATAATCTAAAAGACTTACATTTTTATTAAATACTACATAGAAGTTTTTAAAAGACTGATTTCTAAAACATTTTCAAATGAAAAAATAAATAGTTGAAAAAAACACCTAACTAAAAAATGCAAATTAGCTCCTTTTATTTTTTTTAAGCCTATGTCTGGAATCCCCTCGTGTCTGCTCCTACTTGAAAGCCTTATAAAGAAAAGTGTGCTTTAATGTTATCAATTTCCCTATGTGTGTGAGCCACTCTGTCCAAATTATTCAAATAGGAGACCTTTGGAATCCATTCTAAAGTCTTCCATAAGCAGAAAAATAACAACAAAAACTCAAATACTCAAAACAGAATAAAGACAGGTTTTTAGTTGGTTGCCGGGGTTTTGCTTTTATTTGAGGGACTAGGGGAGACAAAAGGGAAGAAGGAAAAATAGTAAGTTTTGCCAGGTACAAGGAGAGCTAGTTTATAGTTTGCTCCTGTTTCTCTCTCATGTGCAGGAAAGGTATTGGAATGAGACCAGATGGGTAGATGTCTGGGCTATAAATTGTCAGGTTCAAGTTTCCATTCTGAACAAGCTCAGCAACTCAACTGTGATATTGTTGATATGCACCCATCATATTAGAGTCCACACACCTGGAAAGCAGGCAGCATTCCTGCCCGAATTCTATCTACACCTCAGTCATCACCATCAGTCTTGCTTGGCCCCTTAAGCCTTACGACACCCCCAACCACTCCTACCTTAAGCTTCCTCTCTGTTACACCAAATCCCCCAAAGTCCTAAACCTCTCCTAAACTGTTTCTTAAACTGACCTGTATTCCATAGTATTCTTTCCACTCAGTAATGCCCAAGTCCCATCTCTTCCCACCTACCCTCAACCCCCAGTTAAAACTAATAACTGAAACATCTCAGAGAGTCCTCGTTTCATTGCAGCAATGTACACTGAAGAGAAACTCCGTTCAAGTTTTTAATTGATTTTTAAAACATTATTGAAGGCCTAATATGTGCCAAGGGGATATACACAGCAGAAACCAAATGAATTATAAACCCATATGAATTCCCTTTCTAGCTAAATATGCAGTGTTATTTTAATTGGAAGGCGTTTCTCTTCCTGCTCAAGACCAACAGAATCAATACAGCTTTATAGCAGATGAATTCTTATTCATATATTTCCTGCCCATCATTCTCCAAATGCCTTCCAACTGTGTCAGGCAGTTGTGTTATATATATCACCTTAGTAAGAAAAAGGGGAAAACCCACCATTATTACTGGAGGCCAGAGCAGAAGATGTCACGATGTCCAATGAATATTTGAAGCTGACCACAAAGGCCTGCAAAGGCCCCTCGCTAACAGGATATTATTGTTCTGGTCATGTATTGTGTGTTTTGTTTAGGTTTTTGAACATAATACAACTTGGTATTATATCATTTAGTATAACCTAGTAAGAAAAGTGAGCCATTTTGTTCTAAAGCCTTCTTTATTTTTCTCAAATAATTAAAGCCTTGATAAGTATCTGTTGGTCTGATAATAAAATTTTGTAAGATATAAATATTTTAAGTACGTATCTCTTTATCTCCCCAGAACTAAAGACCACCTGCCGAAATTCAGACAGCCGCAATACTCTTTTTAGTATAACGCAGTGTCCATCTTTCCTCTTTTAAAAACTGAGGCTCTAAAGAAATTAGCTCCTTATTTATTTCTATTAAAATACTAATGTGCTCCTCAAATTTGAATCTGTTACATTGTGTGAAGAAAACTGAAGTAAAAATGGCATCTTAGCGATTGGCCCATTACTGTATTTATGTTGTAGTGTGTTTTTCTAAGTAGGGGACACTCTGGTAAACATACCACACAGCTAGCGGAGTGGTGCGATGGACGCATGCTAGCACGTACCAGCAGATTAACAGGAGTGGAGGAGAAACGACAGGCTAATGTAATTTTCTGGCCAACTCTTCTTCAAGAAGGCAATGTCAATGTTTAGTGTACTGTTTTACATATATAAAATACTCAGTATTTGCTGAAAAAGTGAATGCAGTTCTTGACAATTGTATTGACCCCAGATCAAAATAGGAATGGTTAACATATCAGTTTTGTAATAAGACATACACTTTATCATTTAATTAAAGAGATATTCAAAACATTATATATAATAAAAACCAAGAAGTCACACATAAACTATCCCTAAAAAGTGTTATTTCAAAGTCATTAAGGTCCTTTATATATATACTCCAGGCTTTGCATTAAAAAACAAAAACCCTCACCTCCCATTTTTCAGAAGCACTATTTCCACGTTCACCTGTTCCAATGAGATATAATCTTCCAGTTCCATCTGACAGGGTAACCCAGGTAGAAGATGTGAAATGGATAGATGCACAAAGGCGATTGTCGTATGCTGCCAAATCTGCAGGGAGTCGAAATACCTCTCGTGGTTTTCCTAAGGCAGTGTCCTAAAAAGAAGCCAAATATTATAAATGAATCCCTCCCTCTCCTTGGTCTACACACACAGAGAATAAATATCTGCAGTGTAGTAGTTACTCTCCTCCTCAAGAGAAGGAATTTAATTGTCCTCCCTTAGAGTATGAGTTGCACTACCAACACACTTCTAATAAAATATGGCAGAAGTGATGGTTATGTGACTTCTCAGATTAGGTCATAGAAAACTTTACATCTATCTTGCTTTCTCTCTTGGACAGCACATGGTAGACCCACACAGGGAAGAATTGAGGGCTCTGTGAGTGAATCATCTTAGGAGTGCATCCACTGGCCCTAGTCAAGCCTTTGGATCACTCAGTCTAGGCTGACATCTTTCGTGACTACAATTCCATGAAAAACCTTGAGATGAAACAAGCTAAGCCACTCTCTAATTCCTGACCCAGAGAAACTGTGAGATGACAAATGTTTATTGTCTCAAATCACTAATGTTTTTATTAAAATATAGTTAACATATATTAATTACAGATGTACAACATAGTTCTTCAACATTTATATATACCTAATGACATGATCGTGATAAGTCACCAAAGAAAGTTGTTTCATAGAAATACATAAATAACAAACACAATGCAGTAATCTAGTCTTTTAAAAAAAAAAAAAAAATCTTTATTGTTTTCAGAGAGAGGAAAGCAGAGGGAGAGAGAGAGATAGAAACATCAACGATGAGAGAGTCATTGATAGAGCCCACAATTCCCGGGCATGTGCCCTGACCGGGAATCGAACCCCGATCGCCTGGATCCCAGGTCGACGCTCAACCATTGAGCCACACCCAGCCAGGCAGTAATCTAGTCTTTAGTGTTAAATTTAGAGTTAATGATCAGCATTTTTAACTAATTAGAAATACCATATCATGCTATAAGTGCCTATGAAAACACCACGTTTAGACTATTAGGCTTTTGTTAACACATTTTTTTGTGTCATGTCCTCATCATTTAAAGCTGTAAGATGGGTTACATCATTAAAATGTTTTACAAGAAAAAAATATAAAAGGGCCTACAATTCAGAAAATAAACTTCCTCTCATACACTGTACTCAATTAATTTTTTGTTGTTTTATTTTACAGTGAACAATTTTTCTATAGACAAAAATAATCCTTGATTCATACAGTTCATTCCCTGGCTCCTAGAACTGTTTAGATGGGAGTACATAAGATTTAAGTAAACTATATTCAATATCCTTATTAGCTCAAGGTTTTTAGTTACCCCTTGTTTCTAAAGCATACAATTTAGTTTTTGTTTAAACAGCACCTTTCCTTCTTTTTGTACTCATATTTTAGTGATTTACATACCACTGAATTAAGTAACTCAGTAACAAAGACAGCCAGCATACAGTGTTTAGAACAACCAAATCTTCCCTCAAGTCACCTATGACAAGCCCAATCTTTTAATAAGCCCTTTCTAACATTGTCTAACTCAGACTGTGGTTCCCCTGGGTGTGCAGTCTCCTCTGAGGCAAAAAGTAATAAATCCAAGTAAGTGTTAAGTATACCAAAGTGGATTTATATACTGACATAAAAAGATCTGCAAGACAATAACTGAAAAAAAGAGATGAAGGATATGTGCAGTACAAATGCAAATATGCTGAAATAAACAAATGTTTCGATTGACAGCACCGAGTAAGATATAGACAGACATGTGCCAGTCTCTTAATAGTGTTTACCATTAGAAAGAAAAATAAGGTTGGATTGAGACTGGTGGTACGGGAAAATGGGGGTAAGGGGAAAGTTTCCTTTTTTGTTTCAAATAACTGCTTTACTATTTATTTCCATGGAGCAATTTAAGTGTTATATACATAATTTAAAGATATTAATAAAATAAAATGGGACTTCTTTGAAACAGCTGTTTCAAAGTTAAGCTTTCTAGTCATCTCCACACACGCCTTTCATGCATCCAACCGAGTGAGCCCTTTCTAGGAAGAAGGAGGGCTAAACTCATTAGCTCACTAGTCTTCATTTCATACTTAATTACTTAAGATTTTAAACCATTTTATTTTAAATACAAGGTCACACATGAATGAGATTGCTAGAAGTCTAACAGATAAATTAGTGCAATATTCAACAGAAAGATTTAAGAGAGTCAAGAATGGCCCTCACTGGTTTCGCTCAGTGGTTAGAGCGTCGGCCTGCAGAGTGAAGGGTCTCAGGTTCGATTCCCTGTCAAGTGCACATACCTTGGTTGCAGGCTCCATCTCGGCCCCGAGTGCAGGAGGCAACCAAGCCATGTGTGTTTCTCACATAAACGTTTCTCTCTCTCTGTCTCTCCCCCTCTCTTTGACTCTCTAAAAAATGAATGAAAAAAATATCCTCGAGTGAGGATTAACAACAACAACAAAAAGAGAGTCAAGGGTGTAAACATGAAGCCAAATTAAATTAAAATACAAGAGAAAACACAGCATCTCTCTTATTTAAATGATAGTTTAAGTGAAAGCAACCTGAATATTCCTCATTTTTGAAACCTATTTCTCAAAGGGTACATTTTTTTTAAAATGGACTGTATGAAATAAAATATTTCCTTCTGTAAATCTTAAATTACAGCATTAAATTATTTTTTAATAACCTCCATTGACAGTTTTAAAAAGTGTTCTCATAATAACACCTTTTGTAATTGTCATTTATAATGTCCTGGTCCCACCTCATCATTTTCTTCCTCTAGACAAAAAAAATGTTAATGTACTATATGTTCAAGGCTGCTGAAAATCATTCTGAGAAAACATTTCACAGCTGAATTGCAAAAGAATTAAAATGTCATTGACAAATAAAACATAGAATGACTATAATGTAAAAGCATTGTATTAAATAAGTGCTTTGACTTTTTACCATCTTATTTGTTAGCCAACCTGATGAAGCTGAAATTATTACCCCCATTATAAAAAGATAAAGAGCTCTTTTTCAAAAGATTAAATAATATGCCTTGGTCTCCACTCCTAGAAAATGGCAGGGCCAAGATTCAAATCCTGATCCACTCCACTCCAAAGGCTGATGGTCTTTCCTGCGTTCCATTTTCTTAAAATAAACTACTTCCCAAGTTCTTCTTAACAAATGATGCCTCAGAGCTCACTGCAATTTGTAGAATACTCCCCTTCCAAAAAACCCCACTATGAATACAACTACTATATTCAGTTTTTCTTCACGCTAATATTTTATACAGTATTTTTATTAGATTCGAGTCAATAAATCATAATAAAAATTACAAGGTCAACACATTGTATATAAATGACCCTATAAATAAATAGTAAATAAATATTAATGCTGTATAAACCCTATATGTTTGTTTAAAAAAATCTCTAAATAGGAGTTTAGGGGACTCTTAATTTCATCTACAAGGAGAAAAGCTTTGAACAAAACATTTTTCTAACATTTATAGAAAGGGTTACTCAAGTTTAAAAAAAAATGGTCAAGCAAAATTAAATAAGAATACCATTTACTAGTATTATTAGACACTGACATTTAAAATTCTGCCCTTTTAAAAGGAAGTGATCTTTTTCTGGAGAAAGGCTTTTATCACTAATAATTTTTAACTTTATTTGAAAAAAATCTTATTTTTATTTTTTTTGCTAAAGCTTTATGAAAAGATATTTTTAATTAATTGCTGTTCGGCAGAGTGATGTCTCTACATAATATAAGCAGACAGTTCCAAGAACTTACTCCTCCTTTTATTTTTTTAACTAGGAAAATGAATGGCTCCATATTAATAAACTCGAGCACAGAAAATAAGCTGAGATTCAGGTCTAGAGAGGAACATACTGGTACACATTTGACATGTAGTTGCAACCTGTCACCTGGCGCAGCCTCACAAATGCATGCTTACAAATGGAATCTAGTACCTCTCCCTGAATATTTAAGTGCAATTTAAAGATGCACCACAAGATGACGCTCTTCTTAGTAGCAGAAACTAGTTTTTCAGGTAAATGGAAAACAAAATTATGACAGAAATAATTTCCTAAATATTAAGAAAATTAATACAATACTTTAAAATAAGCCATAATACCATAATAAAATGAAATAACTAAATTTTAAACACACTTCTTTTGCTTTCCTAAGGCATCTTCTACTTTCTAAGCATACTTCCTCCCAATTGACATTTCTCTAAAATTGTAAACCCACAAATTAAACTGACTTAAAAGTATAATGCCTCCATAAATCCATGTGTTGAACTACCGCCACCTGCTGGCTCCTGACAAAATCTAAAGTCCAAACAATGTGTGAATTTACTTGCTGGGGTCCAACAGCCTTCACTTTGACCACAATGATGTTTTGCCTAGGCCCTAGACTTAACAAGGGTGGTCCTTTGTACACCAGCTACAGGAAAAGAGCCTCTCTGGGATTTGAGCATGTGTGACTTTAACAACAAAAAAAACCCCACAAAATGAGTACTAGAACTGTTTTCTGCTATAAAAAAAGCCAATGTGGCCTGGCCGGTGTGGCTCAGTGGTTGAGCGTCCACCCATGAACCAAGAGGTCGCCGTTCAATTCCCAGTCAGGGCACATGCCCGGGTTGGTTGCAGGTGCAATCCCCAGTAGGGGGCGTGCAGGAGGCAGCCTATCGATGTTTCTCTCGTCTGTGCTTCTAGCTCTCTACCCCTCTCCATTTCCTCTCTGTCTAAAAATCAAAACATATCTTAAACATAAATAAATAAAAATAAAATTCAGCAGCTATTCTTAATAAAAAAATATTAAATAGAAACAGAAAATGAAGAAAACAACCTTAAAACAACAAACGCTTTTTACAAAACCAACAGAAAGTATTTTCCAAAGTAAATTTGAAATCCACTACAATTAAAAGCAAGAGCTAAGCAGGAATACTTGCAATCCCCATTATTATTCAGTAGTCTCGAGGTTGTCAGCTGTATTTGATTTACTGTGGAAACTTTCCAATAGAAAAGGAAAAATATACTAACCAGTCCACACTGCTTATCGATAATATTTCAAATGCAATCATTAAACTTTCATTCCAGATTTCTAGTCTTAAATCTTGTGATTTAAGTTGGAACTAGCATCCCCAATTGTGATTATAAATGGGTGAACTGATAAAACAAAGCTTTTGGCCCTGAACTATGATCCTACTCCCACCCCTCTTCCAGCCAAGCATACTACTAAACTGTTTCCTTCTCCACACTACTTCTGCATCTTATCCCTACTTCTACTGCTACATGTTATCAATTTATAACAAAACAAAATACATGACAAAAATAGCTCAAAGGTGGAAAGAGAGACACAAAGGAACAAAGAACAGATGAAACAACTGAAAAGATGGTAATATAAACCCAACTGTATCAGTAATTACATTAATTATAAATGCAGTACTAAGCCCTCCAATTAAAAGACAGAGATTCTCATATTGGATAAAAAACAAGACCCTACTAAATGTTCTTCACAAGAGATACACTTTAAAAATAAGAACAATGATAAGCTGAAGTTAAAAGGATAAAAAAGATAAATACCTATTAAAAAAGCCAGCATGACTATATTAATATAAGAAGACTTTGAGACAAAATTATTCCCAGAGCCTAGAAATAAAGGACATTTCATAATCCTAGAAAGACCAATCCATAGCAGGCAGGCAAAACAATCCTAAATGTTTGCAGCCAATTAACATTGTTAAAAAACATAAAGCAAAAATTAGCTAAAAGAAAAAATAGATCCCCTACCATAGTTGGGGATAACACACCTCACATAAAAGGAGAAATGAACAGTTACATCAACATTGATAAACTCATTAGAGTAGCTGCCATTGGTAGGAGTGGAGGGGAATGAACATGTGTAGGAGGAATAGAACAAAGGAAAAATTAAAATTGAATTAAACAGAAATGGAGCCTTATAGATGACAAGATTCCTTATATTAAAGATACTGTACATCAATTCCCTGGATATAGGATTCAAAGTGAAAATTAAGGATCACGTTTATTAGAAAATCCTAATTATGTATTTTTTCCTTACCAACATCACTGTTAAATTCATAATTCTTCCAAGGTTATCAATGTAGTAGACACTATCTTGATACCATGAGTCACAGTGTAGGTAATTATACATTCCAAAAGCATGCATGTGTTCCAGTGTGTATTGATCATCTCGAAGTTTTACTTCTGCCACAGCTGAAATATAAAAAAAAATAAACATAGACATCAAAAGTTTTGCCTCAGATTGTTCCTTTCTCCACAATGCCTACGTGGCAAAGAAATCACTGAAGGCTAATCACAGAGGCTGTCAGGGCAACTCTTGGTGCTATTCACTCAAAAACAATTTCTGGGCACCTACTAGAAACTGTGTGCAGAGGACCAACCGTGAGTAGAACTGAAATGGTCTTGCCCTTATAGAACTTAGAATATGGTGGCCAAAGGCAGGAGATAGGGTTTCTCATGCCATATCCCTTTCTTTTATGCACCTCTTCCTGGTAATTATGAATAAGAACAGAGAAATTCTAAAACTGAAGGATTTCCTATCTCCTGGGCAAATATTAAATCCAGTTCATAAAGTGTTTTTATACTTTTTAAAATGCTTTTACCTCTATTATATCTCAATGATTTTTACCACACATTAAGAAATAGAGTGTTTTTATTACCTCATTACATCATTGTAACTTTATGATAGATTTGACAGAGGCTGAGAAAACTGTTACTCAAGGAAGTGTTTCCTTTATAAGGAACAGTTAGAAATAAATATTCCACTGATTAGGAGGGGAACAAACATCAATTCTTGGTTTTCCAGCACCACTGTGTGGATGAAACTCGATACTGCAGGAAATGTGCATGGTACCACAATGGCCCAAACAGTAATATTAGACAATGTGATGACAAAAACATTTTCTTCAGAACTATCCTGTTAATGCAGAGAAAAAGGCTGCCTCTGGCCCCACATGGGAAAGAAAAATACCATGTTAATCATGCTGAGCATACAGGGGAGGCAGAGCAGCTGAAAGGAGAAAAGCATGAGAACATGAGGCCGGCAGAGCAATTTTAGAGCCTCCTAAGAGAAGGAGCGGAGGGAGGGAGTCTCAGGTGGCTGTTGGGATCTCTGAAATGGTTGAGGAAGAGGAAGATCTTTGTTTGACAGGGGGCTCAGAGGCCAGCAGAGTGAATATCTTATTATTTAACGTTATCTTGCATAGGGAATAAAAGAGCTTTGGGGGAAAATCCTCCCAGTCTTTTAAAAAGAACTTTGGGCCTAACACAAAGGTAATCTTCCCTAATCTTTACCGAAGTTCCTTACAAAACATACATGTAACCTCAAAAACCTAGTTTTTCACTCACAAATCATTTATTGAATGACTACTATGTGCCAGATACTGTGCATTGGGCAGACACTGGTAATAAAACAGACATGAGCCCTGTTAATGGTGCTAACAATGGGTCCAATTACTGCTTCTTGTCTGTAATATACCATTATGTTAAGCCACATGAAACTGCCAATATTCAACTCTGACACCAGCTAAATATGATTCCATCTGATACTTATATAAGCACAGTATTTTTTTTTTTAATGGAGGGCAGAGGCAAAGAATATTAAAACACTAACAAAGGTCACTTCTTAGACCATTTATCTTCTAATCGTACCCAATGAGTCTTCTTTTTGCCTAGTTACTGAATTTATTTGTATATAAAGATGCAAAAAAGTAGAGCGCGTCTGTATTACAAGTTCTGAGGCAAGATTTATGGAATAAGGTGGGGCTAGCAATAGGAGCGTTGCTCTCGCTGAACTATGTTATACAGCGCTTCTGCACATTAACATGTTCGCCTGCCTGCCTTCCTCATATGTCCCTCCAGGAAAGCAGATACGAACTTTACAGTAAAGAGAACATAAATACAATGGGCACATGGCTCTTCTCTTCCTTTACTCCAACTACAGACATAATCTTCGCCACCATTTATTGTCCCTGCCCAAAGATACAGCCAAGAGAGACCACAAAAAACATTAGACACAGCCCTGGCAGGGGAACTCAGCTGGCTGGAGCAGCATCCCAATGAGCCAGGGTTTCGGGTTGGATCCCCGGTCAGGGCACATATGGGAATCAATCAATCAATCAAAACAGCGTGAGCTCTGGGTATAGCTTTCCCACTGACAAACAACCCGGTGAAGTTATCTAACCTTTCTACCCTGTCTCACCTGTAATAAAGGTTAGTAGTATTTGTCCTATAATATTCTTGACAAACTTAACCTTAAAACACATACAAAGTGTTTGCTACCTGGCGCATAAGAAGTGATGATTTCCCTGTTTCTCTTCTCCCTTCCAAGATAAATTCTCACAAAGGGGCTTGCAGTTTCATTCTCTCCTCCCTGTTTTAGGCCCTTCAGCTGGCAGTTATCTCCTCTCTACTGGTCCCTTCTCCTCCACTTAAATATGTTGAAAACTTCCCTCAAACAAATGAAAAAGTTTTCCTCCTCTCTGCCCTGCACTCAAAGGAGAGCTCTTTCCGATCCTGTACTCAAACTTCTCTAAAAAGAGCCTGCACTCCCATTTTTCATTATCCTTATTAATCCATTTCAATTTTGTTTGTACTCTATTCTACAGAAACCATTTTTTCACTTAAAGGTAAATATCGAACAATTTTTTCTTGTAGCCAAGATGAAGTAATAAGTGACCAAATCTATCTTTCCATCAGAAAGAGCCAATAAGATAAAATTAAATCAACCAGACAAAATTACATGAAACAATAGTTTTCAAGACACTAGACATCAGGCAACAAAGGATAGTTATCCCTAAGAAATCAAAAACAAAGGAGGTGCGCCCTACCAACTGTCCCAGCTTACTACTGCCTTGAATCTGAGTTTCCAGACCATGGCACGAAGAGGGAAAAGTAAGGTAGCACCTGAGAGACCCCCCCCTTGTTGTGGAAACTGAGTGAAAGTCTGGGGAGATGACCAAGGTAGCTATATAATTCATTGGACAAAGTACCAGAGAAAAGAGCCAAACAGAGAGAGAAATATCCAGAGAGTCTCTCTCAAATAATGGCACATGTCTGAGGAAACTACCCCAGGCCAGGGAAGAACCATCTGAAAGGATTAGAGACCGATTTTCGGCACTCAACACAAGGCTGTGAGCTGTGACTGTTCCCACCAGGTGGAATGGAGAAAACTCAGAATTCATGGCACAATGGATGGAGTACACAGAAAAGTCTTCTCTCACATAATTAGCCCAAGACTGAGCACTGCTCCAAACCAGTCTAAGGAATCATAAAAGCAACACCCAATTAATCTGTTTCCAAGTAACTCAACTGTATCCCAGAACAAAGTTCAAGTAGCTTTACACAAATATAAATATATTCTGCAGCCAACAAGTTAAAATTCACAATTTCTGGCACCCGGTCAAGTATTACCAGGCATGCAAAGAGGAAAGGAAACAACTCATAATAAAAAGAATAAACAATCGACAGAAGTTCATGACATAACTGACACAGAAGTTATAATTAGAAGAGAACATTAAAAATTATTAAAGTCAGTTCCATATGATCAAAATGACACAGACATTTTTACATGAAAGATACATAAGTTATTTAAATCAAACTTCTAGAGATGAAAACTACAATGCCTAAGATGAAAATACACTGGGTGGCATTAATGACAGATTAGACACTAAAAAAAAAAAATTAGTGAAATTAAAGGCATGAAACTAGACCAGATGAAGTCCAAAAGACAAACAATGTCCTCAGCTATCTTTCTAAGTCCTGGTCTCACTTTCCCAGGAGAGTTTTTCCTCCTCTCCTTCATTCAGTCAATTTATGGAGCACCTACTATGCTCAGAGCAACGACAGAGTAGTGAGTAAAGGAGAAACACATCAGTGTCTTCACAGAGCTCACAGTCTAGTTGCAGAAATATATCAAATAAATACAGAATTAAAAACTATAATTGTACTGCTTTACAGAGAATGGAATGAAGCAGCCCCAAAGTGAAGACAGGAAGGGTAATCAGGACACTACTATCGTTCAGGTAAGAGATAACTGTGATTTGGACAAGGGTAGAGGCATGAAGAAGCCAAAATCTTGAGTCGACTGGATTTGTTGACAGACTGAATAGAAGGGTTTAAAGAAGAAATAACTCCAGGACTTCAGCATAAGCAGCTATATAGACCTGCACTAAGACTATTAGTCCCAATTTTTTTTTAATTGACCTGAGATAACCACATTTTTTATTTTTATTTCATTTTTTAAAAATATATCTTTATTGATTTCAGAGAGAGGAAGGGAGAGGGAGAGAGTTGAAACATCAATGATGAGAGAGTCATTGATCGGCTGCCTCCAGCACACCCCTGACTGGGGATCGAGCCCGCAACCCCGGGCATGTGCCCTGACCAGGAATGGAACTACGGTCTCCTGGATCTTAGGTCAATGCTCAACCACTGAGCCACACCCAGCCGGGCAGTCCCAATTTTTTATGCCTCCCTGGACCTATGCCATTTGGTATGAGGTTGCTATAATTACTCTAGGTGTGATTATATGATTTGCTTAGGCCAATGGGATAACAGCAAACTTATTCCAAGCAGTAGCTTGAAAAAGTGTTTGTGTACTGCTACTTGTATCTTGGAATAAGCCTGGACAACCCAGCTAAAGAATGAGAGACCATGTGCAGAGCTAGTGGGGACCATCTGTAATAATCTTATAGCCAGTATATAGCCAGAGGACCCCTAAACATATGAGGAAGTCCAGCCAAGATGAGCAGACACCTAGCAGATCCATAACTAAACAAAAATGCACAAATGAGCCCAAGCCAGCCTAGAACCACCTACCTGAACCATAGACTTGTGAGCAACAATATCAGATTACTGATTTGAGCTACTAAGTTTTGGGGTGATTTTTAAATTTTATTTTGTATTTACCTTTATTGTTGAAAGAGATTGGGTTGTTTTTTTTTAATGCCTGAACTAACTAAACATGGTGGTACCATTACTGATATGTAGTGGGACAGGGGATGGAAAGGAATGGGAAAGAAAAAAACCAAGCTCACTTTATTGTACCCTGGTCAACTCTTAACTACCCTCCAAAGCTCAACTTAGATATTGATTCCTCCAGGAAGCTTTCCCAGGTCCCCCAGGCTGGTTTGGAAAGATACTGAAGTACTACCATTATGTTTTGTGCAAATCCCAATCACCGCCTTACCACGCTGCTTTAGGACTGTCCGCTTACTTTTCTTCACTAGATAATTGCACCTTTACGTTACAGACAGTCATACTCATCTTGATATTAGCATGTACCATAAAACAGGGTCCCAAAAGATGTTTCTGATTTTTACAAGTTAAACACTTATTACTTAAAATGCCATTCGTGACCTTGTTTTTTGTTGTTTTTGTTTGTTTTAAAAAGGATGAATATCTGGCCAGCTACAGATAAACAAAACAAGTAGTGAGAAGTATAGGTACGAAAATCAACTTTTCCTCAAAAGCCTCTAGAGATGTTCTCTACAACACAGTCCTTAGTGTGGTATCATCGCTCTGAACCACAAGCTGAGTTTCTCTTTTTTAAGAAGCGGGTGGGCCTCAGCCAGAGGACACAGGAGCTGGGGTCCTCCGGGGAGGTGTGGCTTCTCCGCGCACACGCTCACGGAGGATGCTCCGGGGAAAAGCAAGTTCTGAGCTCCCTCCGCGGCGGGGACCGAGCCGGGACGCGGGCGG